CAGCAGCAGCAGCAGCAGCAGCAGCAGCAGCAGCAGCAGCAGCAGCAGCAGCAGCAGCAGTAGCAGGAGTGTTTGCCTGGCGCGCGTCTCTGAGGAGGTGGAAGCTGCAGCAGCTTTGTTTGCGCATGTGCAGCAACTACACAACTGCTGCTGCTGCTGCTACTGCTGCTGCTGCTGCTGCTACTGCTCCTTCTGCTGCTGCTGCTGCTGCTGCTGCTGCTGCTGCTGCTGCTGCTGCTGCTGACCTGGTCGTAGCGGCGGAGCTTGACAGCAAAGGTGAGGGGAGAGTCTCCGCCTTCGTCGAGAGCAGCAGCAGCAGCGCCGCTGCTGAGCAGCAGCTGCACTGCAGCACCGCGAGCAGCAAAAAGGGGAGTTTGGTAGCGGTGGCCTGGCAGCAGAAGCAAATAAAAACAAACAAAAGACAATAAAAGATAATAAATGAATTAATAAAGAGTTAATAAAATAATAAAAGATAATAAATGAATTAACAAATAATTAATAAAAGAATTGGAAAAAAAATGAAAAAAACGGAGATAATACGCGCCCCAAACCCTAAACCCTCGTCCCAAAACCCTAAACCCTCGTCGCGAAGCCCCAAACCCTTGCCCTAAAACCCCAGCTCCTCTCCCCAAAACCCTAAACCCTCGCGCGCAAACCCTAAACCCTGGCGCGCAAACCCTAAACCCTCGCCTGGGTCTCTGAGGTTGGGGTCGCAGTGGAAGCGCTGCAGCAGCAGCTGCAGCGCCGCAGGGCTGTGCAGCGCCGCGTGGGCGACGAGGGAGGGAAAGGGCTCCAAAAAGACTTCTGGACTGAGTCCCGAGGCAGTTAGTTCTTGCAGCAACTAAAAAATAATAATAAATAAATAAAATAACTTTAAAATAATTAAAAAATGAAAAAAATCGACCCCAAAATACCCAAAATCGACTCTTCCGAAACACACGACCCCACCACCCCGCCAGCTGTACATACACCACAGACGCATGCATGCATGCATTTGATTAATGTTATTTCTTTTTGTTTCGTTTGCGCCGTTGGTAGTGCTTGTTTTATAATTGCGTTTGCATTCTGTTAGTGTTTAATTGAGTTCAAAATGTTTTATTTTATTTCTTTTTTGTTTTCCAAAATTAATTTTTTATTTTTTTTATTTTTATTTTTATTTTTATTTTTATTTTTATTTTTATTTTTATTTTTATTTTTATTTTTTTAAGAGCTGCTGACTGCTTCTGCTTCTGCGTCTTTGTGCTTTTCAATTGCGACAAATAAATTAATCCATTTTCCCATCAAAGGGTCATCCGCCCTGATCATAGACGCGCAGTGGTAGTCCTGCTGCTGCTGCTGCTGCTGCTGCTGCTGCTGCTGCTGCTGCTGCTGCGGCTCCTGCTGCTGCGGCCCCTGCTGCTGTTGTGCCTGCTGCTGCTCCTGTTTTTGCTCCTGCTGTTGCTGCTGCTGCTGCGGCTGTTGCGGCTGCTCCTGACGCTGTTCCTGCACCTGCTGCTCCTGCTGCTGCTCCTGCTGCTGCTCCTGCTGCTGCTCCTGCTGCTGCTCCTGCTGCTGTTCCTGTTGCTGTTTCAGCTGTTGCTCCTGCTGCTGTTCCTGCTGCTGTTCTGGCTGCTGCTCTTCTGGCTGCTGCTCCTGCTGCTCCTGCTGCTGCTCCTGCTGCTCCTGCTGCTGTTCCTGCTGCTGCGTCTGCTGCTGCGTCTGCTGCGGCTGCTTGGGCTTACGCTGCTGCTGCTCCTGCTGCGGCTTCTGCTGCTGCTTCGGCTTCTGCTGCTGCCGCAGCTGCTTCTGAGGGGTTCGGGCCATTTTGAGGTCCAGTGTACGTACACCCCAGAAGCAGCAGCAAGCCAAATAATCCGAAAGGACTTTGAAGGCGAAGGCCCTCAGCAGTTCATTTCTTTTCTTTTGCTGCAGAGGGCTCAGGGGAGACTGCAAAACAGCAGCAGCAGCAGCAGCAGCAGCAGCAGCAGCAGCAGCAGCAGCAGCAGCAGCAGCAGCAGGGGGAGGTGACCCTGTAGGGAGCAGCAGCAGGAGGGCTAAGGCTAGAAAAAAAGGGCGAAAATAAAATAGTGGAAAATTAAATTCAACAAATAAACTAATGCTGCTAAGTGTGGGGGTCACTTTTGCAAAAAGTCCTCAAAGCCAGCGAGGCTCGCTGCTGCTGCTGCTGCTGAGCTGCTGCTGCTGAGCTGCTGCTGCAGTCAACTGCTGCTGCAGCAGGCGGCTGCGAGGTCTAGAGGCGGCGAATTGGCATTTATTTTGAATTAAATTAAAAGTATTTCTTTTTTTAGTTTTTAATTCAACTCCGATTATCTTTTCCGCTCGCCCGGCCCTTCCCGGCGGCGCCGCAACAGCTGCATGCAGCAGCTGGCAGCAGCGGCGCGGCGAGTTGGGGTGTCTGTACACCCTTTTTGCTGCTCATTTGCTTCAATTTGAGAATTAAAATGTTAATTTAACTCATTTAAACAATTCTTCTTCGAAATTGAAGGAAGATCGCGCGAAAAAGCCGGCCAGCCCCCCGCCGGCGGCGCCCGCTGCCGACTGCTGCTGCATGCGCTGGCTGGCGCGAGTCGCTGCAGCTTTTCTCTCCTTTTCTCCGGTCTTCTGCTTTTCTCTCCTTTTCTCCGGTCTTCTGTTTATTTTATTTCTTTATTATTCATCATTTGCCAAATTAAATTCCTTTTTGTCTTTTTTTCTGGCGAAAGAGCGCTCTGGCTGCCTCGCTGCTGCTCGTGCTGCTGCGCGCGCTCCGGTGTACATACACCTCAGACGCCGCACAGCCCTCGCTGCATGCAGCAGCAACGCCACAACTGTCAGAAAAGAATTCTTTGGGACTTTGCGAAGTCCCACTTCCCGCGCCGTGTCCCGCGGAGTTGGACAGCTCCGGAGACATGCTCTGCAGCAGCAGCAGCAGCAGCAGCAGCAGCAGCAGCAGCGACAGCGACTAGCCGCAGCAGCAGCAGCGCGAAAACAGCGGCGGCTTGCAGCACCAACCAGCAACAACAACAGCGGCAGTCGCGGCACTAGCAGCACCAGCAGCAGCAGCAGCACCGGCAGCAGCAGCAGCAGCAGCAGCAACAGCAGCAGCAGCAGCAACAGCAGCAGCAGCAGCACTGGCAGATTAAAGAATTAGCAGCAAACAAGTCACAATGGCGTTCACGCTGAAGGTGACGAAACTGCCCTCCACCTCTCTGGCCTACACCAACCTGGTAAGAACCCAACCCCCAAACCCTAAACCCTAAACCCTAAACCCTAAACCCTAAACCCTAGATTGGCGCTTGTGGGGCCCCGTCAGGGGCCTCTGGAGTTGCTGATTCGGGAAGGTCCATTGTCTGGAACAGTTTCATTTAATTGTTTTATTATTAATTTAATTAATTTAATTAATTTAATTATTTAATTAATTTAATTTATTTAATTTGTTTTATTATTTGTTTTAGGCTTATGTACACCCCGAAGTGTATTCGCAGCTGAACCCGCGGGGGGCCTCCTCGGGTGTACAGACACCTCAGCCGGTGCACTGCCACGTGGGGTGTATCGTCTTGGGAGTAATGTAGGTCATTTTTTCGCTTTTTTTCAGTTTTTTTGGATAATTTGGATTATTTTTTCATTTAAATTCATTTAATTTCATTTAAATTCATTTAAATGCATTTTAATTCATTTAAATTCATTTAAATCCCCTCAAATCCACCGAAATCCACTCATTCCGGCTCCCCGCCGGACTTGCACTAGTGCCCGCAAAAGCACTTCCAAGTGCCTTAAAAAGCCCGCAAAAAAGCCAGAAAAGAAGCAAAATAAAACCCAACAAAACGAAGCAAATTAAAATAAAATAAAACCCCAAATTAGCGAATTAAAACCCCGAATCAGCGAATTAAAACCCCGATTTTGCGCCTCCCAGGCCCGAGCCCGCAGTGCAGCGCCTCGATATTGGCCTCAGCATTTGCCACCGCGAAAGCGCCAAACTCCAAATCGGAGATTCTCTTCACCTCCGCCGCTTTGCCCTCCAAACGCCCGCAGCCGCCGCGGCCCTCCGCTTCGAAGTCAACACCTACGTCAAACCAGGTAGCTAGCTAGCTAGCTAGCTAGCTAGCTAGCTAGCTAGCTAGCTAGCTAGCTGGCTGGATAGCTGGATAGCTGGATAGCTGGCGGCGGTTGACAGCTAGCTGGGCAGCTGGCTGGGCAGCTAGCTGACAGCTAGCTGCGATAGACAGCTAGCTGGGCAGCTAGCTGGGTAGCTAGCTGGGCAGCTAGCTGGGCAGCTAGCTGGGCATTTAGATGGCTAGCTGGGCAGATAGGAAGCGCTTTAAACCCTCTTTTAAACCCTCTTCTAAACCCTCCAAAACCCTCTTCAAAACCTCTCTTGAACCCCCTTTAAAACCCTCCCTCAAACCTCCTTTAAACCCCCTCAAAACCCTCTCTAAAACCCCCTTTAAAACCCCCTTAAAACCCCCTAAACCCCCCTTTTAAACCCCCTCAAAACCCCCTCAAACCCCCCTCCTAAACCCTCCTAAAACCCTCCCCAAACCCTCGAAAACCCTCGAAAAACCCTCTGAAAAACCCTTTTTTTGTCTCCTTTTTTGCAACTCAGTGGAGCCGCTGGAAGTAAAGCGGGAGGACTTGGAGGAAGATTTGCGGCGGAGTTTTGAGGGACAGTTTTTTTGCGTCGGACAGTCCCTCGCCCGCAAACTCGGCAGAGAAACCCTCCGACTCACGTCTGTTCTTTTCTGCACTTTTTCGGCACTTTTGATGCACTTTTTTGGCACTTTTGATGCACTTTTTTGGCACTTTTGATGGACATTTGCTGGCGCTTTTGAGGGGCTATTTTGGCACTTTTGACGGACTTTTTTGGTGCTTTTGATGGGCTTTTTTGGCAGTTTTGATGGGCTTTTATGGTGCTTTTGACGGGCTTATTTGGCACTTTTGATGGGCTATTTTGGTGCTTTTGATAGACCTTTTTTGGCACTTTTGATGGGCTTTTTTGGCGTTTTTGGTGGGCTTTTTTTTTGGTTTTAATGCTCTTTTTTGCAGCTTTTGATGTTCTTCTTTTGGGCTGTTTGGTTTTGTTTTCTGCGCATTAAGTGTTTTATCAAAGTCTTTTAAATGCTCCATTTTGCACCTCGAGTGCCACTTGTTGGCGCACTAAATGCTCTTTTCCGAGCCATCCTCAAATCCCTTTTTTGAGTCCTTTAATCCTCTTTTTTGAACTCTTTTTACCTCTTTTTGAGTCCTTTAATTCTCTTTTTTTGAACTCTTTTTGAGTCATTTAATTCCAGTCCTTTAATTCTCTTTTTTGAACTCTTTTTGGCTCTTTTTGAGTCCTTTAATTCTCTTTTTTGAACTCTTTTTGGCTCTTTTTGAGGCATTTCTCATCTCCCAACTCAAATCCCCTTTCCCAACCAATTAAATGCTCCAACAAATAAATAAATAAATAAATAAATAAATAAATAAATAAATAAACAAATAAATAAATAAATAAATAAAAAAATAAATAAATAAATAAACAAACAAATAAATAAATAGATAAATAAATAAATGATTTGTTGCTGCAGCATCACCCACATGGAGCCCGAGCAGCAGCCCGGCGACAAGCCCCGCAGTAAGCCCCCCCCTCAGCAGCAGCAGCCGCAACAGCAGCAGCAGCAGCAGCAGCAGCAGCCGCATCCGCATCCGCAGCAGCAGCAGCAGCGGCGTGTGATTGTTTTACTATCTGTGCAGGCAGCGAGCGTCTGGACTTCCTCTCTCTGTCTGCCTCGACTGTGCTGGACTTTGTGGGGTGCCGCGGGGATCGGGTGAGCGTGCGCGGGATCGGGATCGGGATCGAGTGTGGGGCCCCACAAGTGGGGATCGCCTCCTCGTTCCTGGAACTCGGGATCGGCGGACTCGAAAAAGAATTCAAAGAAATCCTCCGCAGAGTCTTCGCCTCCAGAATGCTCCCGCGGGGCCTCGCGGCGGAGTTGGGAATAAAACACGTAAAGGGGCTTTTGTTATATGGCCCTCCAGGAACTGGAAAAACTCTTATTGCGAGGCAGTTGGGGCTTTGTTTGCATGCAAGAGAGCCAAAAATAGTCAGCGGACCCGAAATTTTGAACAAGTTTGTGGGACAATCGGAGGAGAATGTGAGGAATCTTTTTAAGGATGCAGAGGAGGAGCAGCAGCAAAAAGGAACGGAGTCCGCGCTGCACTTGGTGGTTTTTGACGAGCTGGACGCGATTTGCCGCAGCCGCAGCAGCAGCAGCAGCAGCAGCAGCAGCAGCAGCGTCACGGACTCGGTGGTGAACCAGCTGCTGGCCAAAATAGACGGAATTAAAGCTCTCGATAACCTCCTTCTCGTGGGAATGACAAACAGATTGGATTTAATCGATGAAGCTCTTTTAAGACCCGGAAGATTCGAAGTTCTCGTCGAAGTCGGACTCCCCGACTTCGCCGGAAGACTCCAAATCCTCGAAATCAAAACCAAAGAACTGCAGCAAAAAGGCCGCCTCCACCCCTCCGTGGACTTCCAAACCCTCGCCGAGAGGGCCCGCAACTTCTCGGGGGCTGAGTTGGAGGGTTTGGTGAAGTCTGCTGCTTCTTTTGCTTTCCAACGAGCCCTGGGACCTGCTGCTGCTGCTGCTGCTGCTGCTGCTGCTGCTGCTGCTAAACCCCAAAAAAGGGTTTGCGAACTCGCGGCCATTCAAATCCTCCCCGAAGACTTCGACCGCGCCTTCCAAGACCTCAAACCCGCCTTCGGCAGCGACGAGCAGCGCCTGTCTTCCTGCATGCCCCACGGCATCCTCGACCTCAGCAGCAGCAGCAGCAGCAGCAGCAGCAGCAGCAGCAGCAGCAGCAGCAAGCGGGCGCAGGCCACCTGCCTGAGCCTGGGGGCGCAGGTGCGCAGCAGCAGCAAAACCCAAGTCCTCTCGCTGCTGCTGCAGGGCCCCCGCGGCAGCGGCAAGACAGCACTGGCAGCAGCAGCAGCAAAACTTCTGGACTTTCCTCTCACTAAATTGGTGTCTCCGGAAAGCTGGGTGGGCCTCTCCGAGGGCCCTCGGGTGTCTCTACTCCTCAGGGCTTTCCAGGACGCCTACAAGTCCCAGCTGTCTCTTGTGCTGCTCGACGACCTCGAACGCATCGTCGACTTCACCCCCATTGGACCCAGGTAGCTAGCTAGCTAGCTAGCTAGCTGGCTAGCTGGCTGGCTAGCTGGCTAGCTGCGAGCGAGAGAGCGAGAGAGCGAGAGAGCGAGAGAGAGAGCGAGAGAGCGAGAGAGAGAGCCAGCTAGCTAGCTAGCTAGCTAGGTGGATGGTTAGCTAGCTAGCTAGCTAGCTAGCTAGCTAGCTAGCTAGCTAGGTGGATAGGCAGATAGATGGGTAGCTAGCTAGCTAGCTAGCTAGCTAGCCGGCGAGAAACGGTGTTTGGAAGCGGTGGAAACCCTAAAAGAGGGTTTGTTGGCGCGTAAACCCTAAAAAAGGGTTTGGGGTTTGCATGCAGGTTTTCGAACTTGGCGCTGCAGGCGCTGCTGGTTTTGGTGAAGAAGCAGCCGCCGAAAGAAGGCTCCAAGTTGCTGGTGATTGCCACCACTTCCGAGCCGGAGTTCATCAGGGTTTGTTTTTTATTTTTAATCTTTTTAATCTTTTTATTCTTTTTAATCTTTTTAATCTTTTTAATCTTTTTATTCTTTTTAATCTTTTTAATCTTTTTAAATCTTTTTAAATCTTTTTAAATCTTTTTGTTTTCTTTTTCGGCGTTTTCGGGGAGGTCGGGCGGGTTCTGGGACTCCGGCTTCAGCCCCCAAACCCTAAACCCTAAACCCTAAACCCTAAACCCTAAACCCTAAACCCTAAACCCTCGTTGTTTGGCTCTGGCTGACTGAAGCCCTTTTTGGGGAATAAATTAATTTAATTGCTGCGAAACCCTTTTCCGCGCAAAACCCTAAAACAGCGAATATGTCTTCAAATTTTTCGATTTTTTGTAAAAAAAAAACCCCAAACCCCCGCAAAACCCCTCAAACATTTCCCTTAAAACCACTAATTCAGTGTATTGTTCAAATACACTGAATTAGTGGTTTTAAATGCCTCAATTCGCTTTTGTTTTCTTTTCAGGACTCCGGAATTGCAAAGGCCTTCAACGTTTGCCTCGAAGTGCCGCCCCTGAGGGGCCCCGAGGAAATCGCGGCGGCGCTGCGCGAGCACAGCGCAGACCAATACGAGTTTCCGGAGGAGGAAATTCAAAAAGTAATTAATTAATTAATTTAATTAATTAATTTAATTAATTTAATTAATTAATTAATTTAATTAATTAATTAATTTAATTAATTGTTTAGTTCGTAGATTTAGACGGGCTGAGAGCGAAATCCCCAGGTGAGCCGGGCCGCGCAGCCCCCAGCCACGCCCACTGGCGAGGGTTTAGGGTTTTGGGTTTAGGGTTTAGGGTTTAGGGTTTAGGGTTTAGGGTTTAGGGTTTAGGGTATCTGCCGGTCTGGGGTCATGGATACCATCCCGATAAAGCAGCTCATTATGGTCACAGAAATGGCGGCAGAGAAGTCCAAACCAGGTAAATAAATAAATAAATAAATAAATAAACAAATAAATAAACAAATAAATAAATAAATAAATAAATAAATAAATAAATAAATAAATAAATAAATAAATAAAAATAAATATAAATTAATAAATTATAATTTTTTATTTGTCCAGCTGGTCTTATGCGTCGAGTTCATGAAAGGCTGCTGTTCACTGGGATGCTCTGCGCGCTCTAGGGTTTAGGGTTTAGGGTTTAGGGTTTAGGGTTTAGGGTTTAGGGTTTAGGGTTTAGGGTTTAGGGTACCACTGCGAGAATAGTGACTGCGAAGGCCTCCAGGTGGCGCTTCACGAGGGGCAGTTTGGAAGACAGCGCCTGTGCGCTAGCGAATTAGCAGTTGTTGACTATCCTTTTGAAGCCCTTAAAGCGGCGAGACGAACTGGACTATTTATTCACTGATTTATTTCAATTTCAAATTAATTTTAAATTAATTTTAATTTTAATTTTAATTTTAATTTTAATTTTAATTCTTATTTTAATTTTTATTTGGACTTTTTGTTTTTCTTCAGGTCCAATCGACGCAGAGACATTCATAAGCTGCTTGAGCGACTGCGGCCTCGACAACTTTTCTCAATTTTAGTAAATCCATTTAATCCATTTAATCCATTTAATTCATTTAATTCATTTAATCCATTTAATCCATTTAATCCATTTAATCCATTTAAATCCACTTCACCCATTTAGTGCCTTTGACCCAATTTAACCCCCAAAACCCTAAACTAGGGCCCCCAAGGGGGCCCTCAGGGGCCCCCAGGGGCCCCCAGGGGCCCCCATGGGGCCCCAGGGGGCCCCCTGGGGGCCCCCCTTTGGGGGCCCCTGGGGGCTCCCAGGAAGCCTTGAAGGGGCCCCAGGGGGCCCCCTGGGGCTTTGAGAGGCTTTAGAGGGGCCCCTGAGGGGCCCTCAGGGCTCTAAAGATCGCTGATGGGGCCCCTTGGGGGCCCCTTAGGGGCCTCCCTTGGGGCCCCTTAGGGGCCCCATGTGGGGCCCCAAAAAAGACCCTAGAGGGGCCCCTGAGGGACCTCCAAGGCAGCCTCGGAGGCCCCTGAGGGGCCCCCAGGGCCCTTAAGGCCCCTTATTATCCAAAGGGTACTGAAAGGCCCTTTTTAGTACCCTTTGGGGCCCCTGGGGGCCCCCACAGGGTACTGAAAAAGGGCCCTGGGGGCCCCCCTGCTGGTGGTGGCTGAAAGCGTCAAATTGTTTTCGCAGTTAATTTGCTGTGTACGTACACCTGAACTGCATGCATGCAAATGCAATAGGGGAATAATTTAGAAAATATTTTAGAAGAGCAAAAGTGGAAAAAGTAGATCTTTTTTGCATTTAAAAATATTTTAGAAGAGTAAAAGTGGAAAAAATAGATCTTTTTTGCATTTAAACTGTTTCTTTTTTGGTTCTTCTTTTGCTACTTTTCTCCTATTTATTATTTCACTTTTATCTTTTCTTTAATTCTTTTATTCGTCTTTTTATTATTTCTTTTTAAGGACAAGTCCGCACATGCAGCGCGTATGCTGGCGCTGAGAAGAAGTACAAATGGGGAGAATTGGGCCTTTTAGATGAATTAAAACCGAAAATAAATATTTAATTTCATTTATTTAAAATCAAAAATAAATATTTAATTTCATTTACTTAAATTTAAAACTAAACGAGTCCCGTTGCTGCTGCTGTAGTTCAGTGCGGTGTATATACACCGCGCGCCGGTGTGCGTCTCTGCGGCTCGAAACATTTTTCCGGGGCTCAAGTGGCCGAAAGCGAAATTAAGTGAATTAAATGAATTAAATTTAATGAATTAAATGAATTAAATTAAATTTAATGAATTAAATGAATTAAATTAATTAAACTGAGTCGAATTCATCCGCAAGTTCTCCCGCGACTGCAGGGGAGCTCCGCAGACACCGCGAGCGACGCGGCGGTGACCTCGGCGGCGGGAAAAGAGTGGAAATGAAGAAATGGAGTAAATTGGGACTTAAAAAGCGAAAAATTTGAATTAATTTGAGAAAAAGCAAATAATTTGAATTAATTTGAACAAAAAAAGACAAAAAGGCGGAATTTATTGCAATTTTAAGACTTGAACACGCCGAAAACGGGAAGCCGCTGCAGCTCCAGCTGCGCAGCTTCTTCGGCCGCAGCCACGCGCGCTGCTTTTCTTTGGATTGTTTTCGAAAGATTGGAAATAAAAGAACCATTTAAGAATAAAAATTTCATTTTTGGAAAAAAAACTGCATTTGTGGCTCGAGATCTGGACTCCTGGGAGCTGCGCTGCTGCTGCTGCACACCGCTGCACCAGCTGCGCCGCCGCGCGGCCTTTCGAGGCGGAAATGAAAAGAAAGTTCGGAAATAAAAGAAATGAAAAGAAATGAAAAAGAAAGAAAAATAAAAAGTGAAAAAAAAGATCCGTTTGGGTCTTTGTGGCGCGCCGGCGAGGTGTCTGTACACCTCAGACCCGCAGTCCCGCTGCGGTGTACATGCAGCTGTTTCGGCGCGCTTTTTTGCATTTCTTTTTAATTTCTTTTATTTATTTAAATGTTTTTCGTTTTTAAAAGGCTTTAGTTCCCAAAAAGCCACTAAATAACTCAAAACCCAAAGGGCCCCTCATAATGAAAAGCTCCATCAACACAGAGCCGCCAAGGTAGGCAGCAGCAGCAACTTTGCTGCTGCAGCTTCTTTTCAAAACAAATCAAACAGTCCTTAACCCGCCCTCTGCTGCTGCTGCTGCTGCTGCTGCTGCTGCTGTTGCTGCTGCTGCTGTTCTTATTGCTGCTGCTGCTGCTGCTGAGGCTCTTATTCCTGCTGCTGGCTTTGCTGCTGCTGAGGCTCTTATTCCTGCTGCTGGCTTTGCTGCTGCTGCTGCTGCTGCTGCTGCTGCTGCTGCTGCTGCTTCTAGGGTCCCTGCGCCTCCTAGTGCCCAGCATCCCCGCAGGTGGGTTTTATTTATTTATTTTATTTCCCTTTTGTTTGTTTTCAACTTTTCGAAATTTGTTTTTTTTTCAAAAAAAAGATTCTGCAAAACAAGAAAAGTTTCTTTTCGTCTTCCTTTCCAGATGCTTTCTTTGCTTTCAGTTAGTTCATTATTTATTTACTTTTATTTATTTATTTATTTATTTGTTTGTTTGTTTATTTGTTTATTTATTTATTTATTAAATTCATCATTTAATATTTGCTTTGTATGTTTCATTCATTTATTTATAATTAAAATAACTTGTGCATTTACCAATTCATATTTTTTATTTTTCAGTTTGATTCATTTGCTATTTGTTCTTCTTCTTCTCCATTTATTATTTATCTATTTATTCTATTTATTTATTTAGTTAGTTATTATTAATTAATTAATTAATTAATTAATTAATTAATTAATTAGTTAAGTAATCAAGTAATTAGTCTATTTATTTATTTATTTATTTATTTATTTATTTATTTATTTATTTATTTATTTATTTATTTATTTTTAATTTATTTATTTTTAATTTCAGTCCCTCCGCTGCGTCTAAACTGCGCGCCTTGGCAAGCGCCCAAACAGGTTTGCATTTGACTAAAAATAAAAATAAAAATAAATAAATAAATAAATAAATAATTAATTAATTAATTAATTAATTAATTGACTACTTAATTAATTAATTAATTAGAGTAAACATAAATAAATGAATATAATTTAACAAATATGAAATTGATTGTAAAAATCCAAAGGTCTGATAATTACTCATTCATTTCATAACTGATTTAATTGAATAAAATATAACTAATTAATTAACTAATTAATTAACTAATTAACTAATTAATTAATTAATTAATTAATTAATTAATTAATTAATTAATTAATTAATTAATTAATTAATTAATTAATTATCTTTTCAGAGTGTTTGAGACTGCTGGAGGCTTTGAATAGAGAGCAAAGAGAAACTCGGCGGAAGCTGCAGGTACACCTGACGGGGTGTACAGACACCTGGTGCATGCATGCAAAAACTGGAAAACGGATTTAAATGATCTTTTAATTCATTTAAAACTTTAAAATGAATTATTTATTCTTTTTGATTTCTATTTCATTTAATTTGCACAAAAGTTTCATTTAATTTGCACAAAAGTCCTGAAAAAGCAAACTTTTCCATTTTTCGCCAATTCTTTTCATTTCAAAAGAATTAAAATTAATTTCAAAAGAATTTAATTTAATTTCAAATCAATTTAATTCAATTTAAATCCTTTTCGACTTTAAATTCATTTAAAAGTTCTTTAATTCCTTTTCTAGGTTGAGTTCCGCCGGCTGCTGGTTTCGTATTTAAGAGAAAACAAAAAATGCGTCGAATACTTCTTGGCCACGTAAGCTTGCTGCTGCTGCTGCTGCTGCTGCTGCTGCTGCTGCTGCTGCTGCTGCTGCTGCTGCTGCTTCTGCTGCTGCGCAGGCCTGCGGGTGGAGGGGGCGGAAGCTGCTGCTCTCGCGGACTTCGCGGGGGCCAGCGGCTCCGAACTTCGCCAAAAACTGCAGGCGGCCTTTCGCGGCCTTCAGGAGGCCTACGCCCTCAAGTTCACTGTGAGCAGCTAGCTAGCTAGCTAGCTAGCTAGCTAGCTAGCTAGCTGGCTAGCTGGCTAGCTAGCTAGCTGGCTAGGCTGGCTGGCTAGCTGGCTAGCCAGATCGATGGCTAGCTGGTTTTGTAGCTAGCTGCGTGGGTGGCTGGCGAGCTAGTTGGGCTGCCCGGTGGGCTGGCTAGCTAGTTGGCTAGCTAGTTGGCTAGCTAGCTAGCTAGCTGAAGAGGTGTTGGCTAGCTCCTCAAGACGAGAGTTAAATAGCTAGCTAGCAGACCTTCCACGAAACGCCTCGAGAAACGGGAGGGTTGTTCGCTGACTAGCTAGCTAGCACAGATGACTGCGCAGCTAGCTAACTAGCTAGCTAGCTAACTATGTAGATACCTAGCCAGCTAGCTAGCTAGCTAGGCCGGCGGCTCGCTAGATAGCCGAATGGGTAGACGACTATCTGGCTATGCTCTGTAAAGCTGCCTGTAGCTAGCTAGCTAGCTAGTTAGCTAGCTAGCTAGCTAGCTAGCTAGCTAGCTAGCTAGCTAGCTAAGCGCGCAGTTAGTTAGCTAGCAAGCTACCCAGGTGGCTAGCTGTCTAGCTAGTCAGAGGATCAGCCAACTAGCTACAGTGCTATCTGACTGGCTGCGCACGAAGCTCTATAGCTAGCTACCCGGCTAGCTAGCTGGCCAGCTAGCTAGCTAGCTAGCTAGCTAGCTAGCTAGCTAGCTAGCTAGGTTTATTTGTTAGCTGTTTGTGTGGCGCAGCTGCAGCGCCTCAACGCCCTGCAGGAGCTTTGCATGTGAGCCGAAAGCGGAGGGCTTTGTTTGCTTCCGAAACCCTAAACCCTAAACCCTAAACCCTAAACCCTAAACCCTAAACCCTAAAAAAGGGTTTGCTGCTGCCTGCGCGCAGGCTGGAGGGAAAGTTCAGGGCAATTGAACACGAGCTGCCCCCGGTGAGGCTTTTGGGGTTTGAGGTTTTAATTTTTTTGGATTTAAAATTAAAAAATAATTTTAATTAATTTATTTTCAAGGATTGTTTGTTCATTTGACTTGTTACTACTTCACTTATTTATTTATTTATTTGTTTATTATTTATTTATTTATTTGTTTATTTATTTATTTATTTAGTTAGTTAGTTAGTTATTTCGTTATTTAGTTTTGTTATTTATTTATTTATTTATTTATTTATTTATTTATTTATTTATTTATTTATTTATTTATTTATTTATTTATACTGTTTTTTATGTAATACTTAATTCTTTAACATTTAATTCCTGCATTTATTTAATTCAAATTCATTTACTTCTAATGCATGAATTTAAAATTAATTTATTTTGAAATTAAATAATTTTTTAATTTTGTCTTTTTTAATTAATTTATAATTCATTTATTCATTTATTTGATCAATTTTCTTTTTTATTTATCTTTTAAATCTTTTTATTTTCTTTTTTATTTATCTTTTAAATCTTTTTATTTTCTTTTTTATTTATCTTTTAAATCTTTTCATTTCTTTTTTTATTCTTTTAAATCCTTTTATTTCCTTTGTTTTATTTTTTGATTTTTTAATTTCTTTTTAATCTTTTAAATCTTTTATTTCTTTTTTTATTCCTTCGAATCTTTTCCTTTTTAAATCTTTTCTTTTCCTTTTAAACCTTTTTCTTTTCTTTTTTTAATTTTAAATTACTTTCCTTCTATTTTTATTTTAAATTCATTTATTTCTTTTTATCTTTTTAAATCTTTTTCTTTTTTCATTTTTAGGAAGCTCGAAAGGAATTCGAATTGAACTGTTGGCGAAGATTAAAACACACCAACTGGTCTGTCTTTTTTTTATTTCTTTTTTGTTTATTTATTTATTTATTTCATTTATTTATTTTATTTATTTGTTTTATTTATTTTATGTATTAAATCCTTCATTTGTTTACTTTATTTATTTATTTTATTTATTATTTTAACTATTTGTTTTATTTATTCTATTTGTTCAATCCTTTACTTGTCGCTTTTATTTATTATTTTATTTGTTTGATCCTTAATTTATTTTCTTTATTTATTTTGTTTAATTATTTTGTTTAATTATTTTCTTTATTTATTTTCTTTATTTTCTCCTTTATGTATTTTCTCTGTTTATCTTTTTTATTTATTTTCTTCATTTATCTCTTTTGTTTGTTTTCTTTATTTATCTCTTTTATTTATTTTCTCTATTTATTCATTTTTTTATTTTTTTTATTAGTTTTCTTTATTTATTTCTTTTATTTGTTTGCTTTATTTATTTCTTTTATTTGTTTTCTTTATTATCTCTTTTAATATCTCATTTTTATTTATCTTTTTAATTTATTTTTCTTATTTGTCTCCTTTACAATCTTATTTATTTATTTGATTTGTTTTCTCTCTTTGTTTTATTTGTCTTACTCATTTATTTTATTTATCTTCAATATTTGTTTTATTTTATTGTCTCTTTTATTTATTTATTTTATATTTCTTTTTGATTTATTTCTTTGATTTACTTTATTTATTTATTTCCTCTTTTGTTTCTTTTACCTATCTCCTTTATTTATTTTTTCTTTATTTCTTTATCTCTTTATTTATTTCTTTTTCCATTCCTCGTTTTGCTTTTTCTTCATTCTTTATTTCTTTATTTCTTCATTCTTTATTTCTTTATTTCTTCATTCTTTATTTATTTATTTCTTCATTCTTTATTTCTTTATTTCTTTATTTCTTCATTCTTTATTTCTTTATTTCTTCATTCTTTATTTCTTTATTTCTTCATTCTTTATTTCTTTATTTCTTTATTCTTTATTTCTTTATTTCTTTATTCTTTATTTCTTTATTCTTTATTTCTTTTTTCTTTTTCCTCTTCTTTTTCCTTTTCTTTTTTCTTTTTTCTTTTTTCCTTTTTTTTATTTTTGGTGCACAGCAGCAAGGGCCTGCTGAGGTGTATGTACACCTCAGGTACGCCTCGCTCGAGGCTTTGTTGGCTTCTTCTGCTGCCACTTTTACTTCTTTTCCGGAAGCAAATCAAAAAGAGGCCCCACAGGGGGCTGCGCAAGAAGCAGGCTGCCCCAGCAGCAGCAGCAGCAGCAGCAGCAGCAGCAGCAGCAGCAGCAGCAGCAGCGGGAGGGGGGAGCCTGAGGGCGCAGACGGCGCCGCCGAGGTGTCTAGGCAGCTCTTTAGGTTTTGGGCCTGCTGTACTGACACCTCAGGACAAGTGCAGCAGGAGCAGCAGCAGCAGCAGCAGCAGCAGCAGCTGCAGCAGCAGCAGCAGCAAGTCTCTTCAGACTCTGTTTACACTCTGGCTGTGCCGCAGCCGCGTCTACCGTCTCCTGAACTAAGTTTGTCTGCAACAGAAGCCCCAGCAGCAGCAGCAGCAGCACCAGCAGCACCAGCAGCAAAAGCAGCAGCACAACCACCGGAATCGGGTGCAGCAGCAACAGCAGCAGCAGCGGATGCAGCAGCAGCAGCAGCAGCAGCAGCAGGTTCGAGCACGAATTAACGTTTGCAGCAAAAAGAGCTGAAGCCTCTCGCCAGATCGGAAAGAGGCCATGCAATTAGAAGCAAAGGTAGCAGCAGCAGCAGCAGCAGACACAGCAGCAGCAGCAGCAGCAGCAGCAGCAAAGCGACCTCAGCAGCAGCAGCAGCAGCAGCAGCAGAAGAGGCAGCAAAACGGAAACCGCGAGAAGCAAGAAAAACAGCAGCAGGTCAGAGCGGCGCAGACGAGGTGTATGTACACCTCAACGAAAGAGTTTAAAGGACTTTCGAAACATAAAAAACTTTAAATGTTTTTTATTTATTTAATTCCTTTTATTTAATTTATTTTTATTTATTTAATTTGTTTTATTATTTATTTGTTTAATTTATTTTTATTTCGTGAAAGAAAATAAAAAGGAGAAACAGCTGCAGCAAACGCAGTGTACATACACCCCAACGCCCGAGCACAGGCCCCCAGGAAATATAAATAAATAAATAAATAAATAAATAAATAAATAAATAAATAAATAAATAAATAAATAAATAAATAAATAATGGCTATTTAATTATTCAATTAAATAGTTAAATAATTAAATAATTAAATAATTAAATAATTAAATAATTAAATAATTAAATAATTAGTGGTACAAAAGGCAAAAGAAATAAATCAAAAGGGCTGCAAAAGTGAAGAGTCTCTTTCCTTGAGTCTGTGCTGCGCTGCAGCAGCACCAGTGGCCTCCCCCACAGCAGCAGCAGCAGCAGCAGCAGCCGCTGCAGCAGCTGCAGCAGCAGCAGCAGCAGCAGAAGCAGCAGCAGAAGCAGCAGATGCTGAGGGGGCTTCGGGGTCCCCCCAAACGCCCCTGTTGCCTCTGCTGCGTGGGAGTGGCGCTTCAGTGGAGACAAAGACGCCCAGCAGCAGCAGCAGCAGCAGCAGCAGCAGCAGCAGCAGCTTTGCTGCTGCTTCGCCAAAAGCAGCAGCAAAGCACAGCTACCAGGAAAGGGAGAGGCAGCAGCAGCAGCAGCAGCAGCAGCAACCCCACTCCCAGAACCACCAGCAGCAGCACTACCAGTACCAGTACGAGCACCAGAAGCAGCAGCAGCAGCAGCCGCAGCAGCCGCAGCAGCAGCAGCAGCAGCAGCAGCAGCAGCAGCCACCTCCTCTTAGGGTTGCCTCTCCTCCCCCCCTTACTCCAACAAAACCGTCCCTCTATGCCCATGACCTGCAGCACAAGCAGCAGCAGCAGCAGCAGCAGCAGCAGTGGCATTATCAACAGCAGCAGCACTACCAGCAGCACTACCAGCAGCAGCAGCAGAACTACCCGCAGCAGCAGCAGCAGCAGCAGCAGCAGAGGACTCCACG